GCTAGGTGGCCTAGGGATCAAAAATCTCAGACATCAGAATGTCGCCCTCCTCAATAAATGGTGGTGGCGACTTTGACCCTTAGGGTTCAGCAGTGGGATGACATATTGAGGTTCAAATACCGCATTCCTGCTACCCCTTGGCTATCAGAGTTGAAATCTTACCCCAGGGCTTCGGGGGTTTGGAAGACTATCACTAACTCTTTTCACCTCTTCTCCAAAGGGATTAGATTTCAAGCCAGAGAGGGAAATCATATCCAATTCTGTCGGACGTTTGGATAGGTCAACAGACTCTCAAAGACCAATATCCGGATCTATTCTCCGTGGCGCACCACCAAAATGCCTTCATAGCTGATGAGATGAATCTCGAAGGTATTTCTAGCTCTTGGAACCTTCTTTTTAGGAGAAATCTTTCTAATCCAAAGTTCACCTCCTTCTTAGACCTCGCACACACCCTTTCTTCATATTTCTTTCTACACCACGGAAGAGACAAAATCATCTGGGCACCTGCCGCCTCATAAGTTTTTCAGTCTCATCTTTCTACTCACTCATATCCCAACCACCTAACTTTCCTTTAAACCCCACCTCTTTCGTTACCCAAGCTTGGTATTCCTTTGCGCCCCATAGACTTAAGCTTTTCATGTGGGTAGCACTTTAAAGTGCTTACTGTTGACCATCTGCAGCGTGTAGAGGTCTTTCCCTCCCAAACAGCTGCTCCATGTGTTGTAATGAGGAGACAAATTCTCACTTGTTCCTATTCTGTCCGTTTGCATTCGAAGTTTGGGGGAAGATTCTAACTCTCATTGGTATCCTGTGGGTTTTACCCAAAGAGGTCCCATCATTACTCAAAGTTTACGAATCATATCCTTGGCCCAAGGCCAAGATCATGTTATGGAAAACAACGGTGGCAGCAACTGTATGGGCTCTTTGGATAGAACGTAACAACAGGATTTTTCAAGGGGAATTTGCAACACCGTCCCTGGTGTTCTCCAAAATCAAATCCCGGCTAGTGTTTCAAGGAGTTCCAACTTCAGCCTTCTATCAAAATTGGAACACCATTCTGCAGTATCCCACAAGAAAACCTCCTAGAGCTTCACATTGGCAACCTCCAGCCCCGGGCCAACTAAAGCTCAACTTCGATGGTTGCTCGGTAGGCAAGCCTGGTCCCTCAGGAATAGGAATTGTTCTGAAGGACCACGCAGGTATTACGGCAGCAGTGACCTCTAAGTTTGTAGGCCACTTGGACTCCATGGAGGCAGAAGCTAAAGTGTTGTTAGAGGGCATTAGAATAATCCAACCCTTCTCAAACACGCCCTTCATTATCGAGGGTGATTCCAAGAATGTCATTTCTTGGGCCAAACATCCCTCCTCAATCCCCTAAGTCTTATATCACATCTTTGATGAAATATTCCACCTTTGCAGGCGCCTGACCATCATATGGAAGGACACGTGAAGGGAGGCAAACCATGTCGCAGATGCCACGGCCAAAGCAGCGGCTCTCGATGAAGGAACATGAGACCCAGTGGAAAGGGTTTCTAGACCTGCTTGCTCTTTCACTTTGTAACCATCTAAAAGTCTTTTGTAACACGCCTTCTTCAGTCTCTCCTCTCCCTACTCTATTCTTCCTAGCTACTCTTAGCTATCCCTAGTGGATAGCGCCTCTCTCTCTCCCCCTTTTGTATCTCAACTAACCGCATGTGGTTAGCCTCTCTCTTTCTCACCCCTTTGTACTCTTTCTTATAATATATAACAGTTAACATTATCAAAAATTATTTATTTAAACTACAATTTAAAAAATAAGTTACCCTTATGTAAAGAATCCTAATACATGAAGTTTATCTCCATGTACCATGAATTTAAGTTCTAAAATTAAATGGATGTCTTTGATCTTTTATTTTCGAGGTAAGAATGGGGTTGAGGTCAAGGTGGTAGCATGAATTGTGACTCAACTACCGGTCTTGGTTTCCATTCCTACCAATGCTAGCCCCTTTCGAAAACTACTAACTGTTTCAAAAATTGCTAGCCCGTTACCAATAGTTAACGTTCAAAAAAAAAAACGACACTTTTTTATATTTTTAGCTATCAGTTTTTGTTGCTTAAGAGCAATTTTTTAATTCAAACTACAGGATTTAAGAAATAGTTATAATCTGATTGGTTATTCCTATGCATTAGACAAGTTATGGACTAGTAATACGCTATATGGGGGATAGTATGGTTACCCATGTTTTTAGTACCCTACCCTTGGGAATGGTGGTGACTTGACCTAGATCAGGGCAAGTTTGTTCCACTCACCCCTAGTCTTAAATTGAGTCAACCAATTGGTTTACTCTCCAAAAGTGCTTGAAGACAGCATGAATTGGCCAGAATTGCCAGATAATGTCAAATATTTGGTCAAAAGATGGGCTCAATCTCCATAGGCATGGAGATACTTATAAGGCCCAAGATATAACATTTTTTGAATCACCTTTGACAAGGGGAGAGAGACACCAATTGCTGTCGTGAAGTTTTAACCTTCCAATAAGGCCTAGACCTCTACTATCAAGGAATTGGCGGTGCCTATATGGCCTGAGAAAGGCCGCATTAGCTGAGCCGAGCCATCTCTAAATGGAAACCCAACACCTACTAGACCAGGGTTACCAAGAAAGCAACCATCAAAGCTTAATTTGACAACCCATTCTCAAGCCAAATCCAATGGTTAGATTTTGTGAAAGTCATTGACCTAGTAGTTATAAAAGGGTTCCCAGTTTTGTACAAAACCCCCTGCAGACCACGCCCTAACTCTTTCCCATTATGGGCCAAAAAATGAATGTTTCTACAATTTGACCCTTGACGCCGTGGCCATGCCAATACATGAAGTACAGCCCCTAAAACTTCTGCCATTCAGCTCCAGCCAGATTACCCAAAGAGTTGCTAGCAGGGTGGACTACATTGACTGTGACTACACCAGTTCCCAACCAACACCTTGTCAAGACAACCAACGCTAATGGAAGGTAGCCAAACCACCCTGCACCGTCACACCTAGACTCGGTGATAACCTAGTAAACGGTAAGTAGTAAAGGAAGATATAAGTTCTTTTTTTTTTTTTTTTTCCCTTTTCACAGTAACTTTGTTTAGTTAATAGTGAGGATATGCATAGACTCTGCTGTATATTGACTCAAGTTTTTAAATGAAAACTACTTGTACATTAATTTTTTTGATCAATGAAAACCAGTTAACTTGAAATTTCAAAGAAAAAAAAAGGGGAAAGGAAAAAGAAGAAGAAGAAGAAGGCAGTAGAAGGTAACAAGGCTCAAACCGTATAGACTCTGTTGTATATTGACTCAAGTTTTAAAATTAAAATTACTTGTATATTCATTTTTTGATCAATGAAAACCAGTAAATTGAAAAGTAAAATTAAAAAAAGAAAGAAGAAGAAGAAGAAGAAAAAGCTAGAAGAAGGTAAAGAGGCTCAAACTTCATCGGGAGGAAGCATTAAGGGAAAACCAGAACTGAAATAATGAGACATCATATTAGAACGCCAGGCTGTCTTCATTCCTAGGTTGTGCCTTGAGGCAGCCTGAGGGCGAGACACCTCATCTAGGCCACAACGACAAGGGCTGCCATGGGTTGACACCCAGGCACCCTAGGCAGCTTTCTAGGCACGCACCTAAGAAACATGATTACAGTGAGAGAGAGACCCGAGGGAGTGATGCAAAGAACGGGCTTCTTATTCCCTTGCACATATCACCTTCCACGTTCTAATAGCCATTGGCATCAGCTGATTTAGCACCCAAGTTTGAATCACAAAATTAGCAGATGCACTTCTAAGATCAGCTGAATTATTGGATCATAGCCTGACTTGGTATCTGTTTCTGAATTTGCTAACCTCTCTTGTGGAACTAAATTATGGATTGTGAGGCATTCAGTCGCACCCTTCAGTCCTTATTTTCATAATTCCCAAATGCACTATCCAAAATTGCTATGCTTGCATTAAATTAAGCATATTATGAAAATCCTATTTAGTAACTGAATGGCCTTCAGTGAACCATGAGAGACTGCGTCTTGGTTAGACACAAGCACAGAGAGCAATTATGAGGCTTTAACCCCCCGCCCCTCTTTCTCTCTTTCTCCCTCTTTCCCCCCCAGCCATCTCGGCCACATAAGCAGTACCTAAACCGCTAGACAGCCAACCACCTGGCCTCCCTAGGCATCACATGCCTTTTCTATACAATGAATGAGAGTATGAGACTATGAGACAGAGCTCAAAAACAGGATCCTAGTCAAAGTCTTCAAAGAAACGTGCAATCCTACCCTGCTCCATAGAGAAGTGATGCCCCTAAATGAGGTAATTTTCCCTGCAGCGAGCCCAATAGGGTAGTTTACCCCTCAGCGCCCATGAAAGCAAAGTTTTCTTCAACTTTGCCTTCTCGCAACCATTGATTCTTCTCTTGTAAATATACTTAAATACTTCAGAGCAAGGTTGTATGCAAAATTCATTTCAGTGTTTTCTCAGTGTATATGATTTATGCACACACAATTGCTCCAAACCCTACCAAGTCTATTCAAACTATGAAAAAAAATTAAACATCAATCAATTACCAAAATATCACTTATCCATCAAAATCCAGAGGGTTAAGCTGAAAAGGGAAAATATGGGCAATAAAATGACCTTTTCTAGAAATCCCCATTACCATCTGCTCTATGAGTGGCGATCAGAAAGGGAAAAAAACAACATTGCAGCCTTCATTTAATCAGAACAATTTCTTGATCATTATAGTAATACCAGTAAAACTAAATGACCTCATAAGGCACAAAAATCAGTTCTAAACTAAATGACCTCGTGAGGCACAAAAATCAGTTCTTATGTTTCAAAATACACCATGCCCCATAGTCTAACGTGCAAACAATCCCAGTCATGAATATTCCAATTAATGAATATAATTTTCATTATGTTCTGTTTACTAACATATATTATTTTCTTTCACCTGTTACATAAAATAAATAAATATACAAACAATATTTACCATCATTGCGAGACCTTTTAGATCCAAATGAACCTCTGTGATCAACCTACACAAACAACCATTTGCAGAGATTAACTGTTTGAACAAATGAAAAATTACATCGATTGAATCCGCCTATAAATCAAATAAAACAACTAAACTCCTTAAAATCCATTAATAGCTAACATAAGGCAACTCATACAAGTAACTACAATTGTATGGCGCGCAAGACTTGGTATCAATGGTAAAACTGTAACAGGAGATGCAACTGAGTGCAGCAGAAAACAAAAAAAGGGTATAAAAACCCTAGTTTACTGTCTTTTTTACTCGTTCTCACACAACATAAGTTGTTTCGGAAGCTCATGAAAAACCCTAATTTTCTGTTTACTCTCCAGAGTTTCTTCCCTGCACTGATTCCAGGAAACGGCATTCTTAGGTTACAGAGTAAACCCTAATTTCTATCCCTTTTTCTTAACAGACTTTTCCGTTTGTTGGAGTTCGATATTTTTAGTTGCTTCTAGAAAGAGAAAGCGACGAGAGAAGTAGAGAGAGTGTGTAAACTGACCTTTGCCGAAGACATTGTGGGCTGAAAATGCAGAGTGATATGTGAGAGAGAGGAGAGAAGAGAGATGAGAGAGATAGAGGGTTATTTGTGCCGCGAGTGCGAGACGTGAAGGCAAGAAACCATGTCTTGTGGGAGAGGGAATGGAACTTCTGGAGTTATGAGAGAGAGAGAGAGAGGGGCAGAGAGAGAGAGGGTATTTCAATGGCCTTTTAGAGAGAGAGAAGGGGGGAACGGGGGAAAATAGTTAAGGGCCAGTCGAGTTATTGGCCCTAAAGGGCCTTTAGTGTGTGAGAGAGAGAGAAGTTTTGGCCTAGAGAGAGAGAGATTGTTTTGGCCTAGAGAGAGAAAGAGGGTCGTTTGGCCTAGAGAGAGAAATTTGGCCTGGATAGAGTTTTGGACTTAAGAGAGAGATTGTTTTTGGCCTTAAGAGAGAGTATTTTGGCTTTGAGAGAGCTTGTTTCGGCCCAATCTCTCTCATTAAAAAGGAGAGAGAGATAGGAAGTAGACACAAATCAATGCTCTTTTTCGATAGTGAAGAGCACGTCCCTGATAAAGCTAAATATCCTGTGGTTTCTCTCTCTTAAAAGCCAAGACCGGATACCACCAAAGGACCCCTCTCTCTCTCTAGAATTAAGAGCATGTCCTCTATGAGGGTTTCTCTCTATGCATTAACATATTTATTGGCTTTGAAGCCAAAGTCCTCTCTCTCTCTTTGAGTCAATGCTCTCTATTTATTTAGAGAGCATTGATGTAATGCAATGGTGGTATAGTAGTATAATGAACGATATTTTTAGAAAAATCATGTTTATGATATTTGTATAATTTTAAATTTTGTACAAATTCTTTTCATCTCAATAATCAAACCCTTTAAAAAAAAAAAGAGTTCAATTTGAACACTAGGTCAAAATGGGTCCCCTCAAAAAAATGAATCTAAACCATTCATTTTATGAATCCAATATCTTAACCGTTATAAACTCAAAATCACATTTTTCTTTGTAAACATTATTCGTCGAATGATAATAAAGCTATCCAAACAAATTGGAAATGAAACAAATCATTCTAAAGCCTAGATCTAAATATCTCACCAAAATGAACGGACTGTGTTAATTGGGCTAAAAAAATACTTTCTAAGTTGTGTTTTTAAATTTTTCTTTTTTTGTGATTGTTCGTTAAAATCAAAAGATTATATATTTCAAAATTTGGATCAAACAAATGGCCATAAGATGGTTTTGTAATGTTGTTGCATCATATTTCTATACAACGGCTGCATGAATCATTGCTCTATAGATTTTAGTACAAATTTAAAGTTTTAAAAAATGGGTGCGGATTGTATAGAGCCTAGGCTCTAAACAATCAAATTAGAGCCTGCCTACAAATAGTATCGAGAAATGTGGTTTCAATACTAGAAATCTTTTTGATAGCCTTAAAATATATTCTCATCGTATTTTATAAAGTTTAAAGCTTAAAAAATAGTGTAGGATCAATAGATCTATGAAAATTTTAAATCTACATTGTTCTCGTATCCATATATCTCACTGTCGAGATGACCAATTTGAAGATATGTGGGCATCAAAACAAGGTCTTATAGTAAAATTTATGTGGTAGGCTCTAATTTCATTGTTTAGAGCCTAGGCTCTATACAAACTTTTTCCTTTAAATAAAGTAAAAATCAAGGATATCTATAAACATTTAGATCTTGAAAATAGACGGTCCAAATAGCGTATTATGAGATATGCTATTTTTAGGAGTTTAAATTCTATTTTTCTTGTGGAAAATTGTTTCTTGCAGACTAGACTGCATTTCTACAATATGCGGTCCCAAGGTATAAAGCATCCATCTTAAAACAATCGAAACTAACGGTCCAAATGTTTTATTATAGAATTATTATTTTTAATTTTTACTTATTTATTCATATTCACAATCTCCATGTTATACATCCCAAGTCCTTAAAAATTAAGTCCACAAATCCATCTCAAAAATAGATTTTTAAAAGGTGACTCATTTCTACATCGACTCATAAAAATTATGTCTTTTTTTTAATATATCAATACATGGGGTCAAGATGATCATTCGAAAGGTTTTTCAAATACGCAACACTCTTTTCTATTAGATTCTTGAGGTGTACCTTACTTCTATATCATAACTTTTCCAAATCTAATTGATCCCATTTTTATCATGTGAAAACTCGAGACTAGGTTTTAGATGAGTCGGTTGACTCATCTATTTACATGAGTCCTTCCTTTTCGGATACAAAATTTTGAGGGGTTGACCAATTTATACCATGATGAAGATTAATATATAAAAATAATAAAAACAAAAACAATATTTTTGATGTATTTTTTATAATATTCATTTTAGGGTTTTGCTAAGACCACTAGCTCTTTACATATCTTAAAGATGGGTTTGTTTGAAGGTAAAATTTGGGGCAGCAAATTTCTCATGCATCTGTTAAAAAAAAGAAGGAAAAAGGTTAAAACAAGGCATATGCCGTATAGGAAAAAATAAAGCCGCATCTTAAATCTCACAAAACATTTTAATTATGATATTAGAAAATCATCAATTCAATCATCTCGACCTTAATCATTATGAATATAAAAAAAATTAATAAGATTTACAACCCTAAGAATAGTGTATATTAAGATTTTAAAGTGTCAAGAACTTCATGAGACCTATACTTATTTTTAAGCTACAAATTCCATCATCAATGGTAAAAATATATTTTAGAGCCAACTCATATGAGTTTCCCACGCCCAAAGTAATTTTCAGAGGAGGTTTTGATGTAAGGTTTTATTTTTCCCATGAAGCCCAAGCATTATAGAAACCACATCTATCATAAATACAAAAAAGTAATTTAAAAATGGAAATAGCAAAATATTCATAATAATCTAAGGGCATTTTGGTAATTACGCTATTGATTTTTGTAATTTTTTCACAAGTACATGATAGTAATGATTATAAATACCCCAAGTGCGAGATTGAAGAAAAACAACTAAATCATATGCTCTAAAAAAAAGTGGGATTTGTGTGCAAAATTTAAATACGGACAACTATATTTAAAGAGTATGGTTTGTATAAGGTGTTAACTTTAAACCATCAAAGTAAGACAACTGTAAATTGTAGTAAAAGATGTAGTTTTGATACTACAAACCCTTATGATGGCCTAAATATATGTTTTCAGACCAAATTATAATATTTCAAGCTCAAAAAATGATGTAGGTTGAGGAGATCTATAAACACTTATAAATACCCTTAGTTATTATGCATTACTAATACATAATAATGTGTTTTTATATATATAATGAATAACAATTAGAGACATTTTTGCCATTCAAGTGGGACTTCATGGGGTCAAAATATTGAAATGCTCATGTTTGTTTTTTATTCTCAACTTCGATAAAGGTATCTTGGGTATTTTGAAAAGACATTTCAAATGAGATACCTGAGTGAAATAGAAATAAAAAATAAAAAGCAGGCCCTATAGGGATGATTTGACCATTTGACTGATATTCTAAAGGGTTTCATTTCCTTTAATGATATTTTTCCAACAAATAAAAACCCAAGCCACTCGAGCATTTTGTGGCACTAAGCTTGGGTTTTTCTTGGCATGACTACACAGTCCATTGTCCGTCTTACATGTAATCAGGGATGATACGATGAAATGAGCAAATGATCACACTAAAGCATGCTAGTTAGGATCATCAACGTTCAATCAATTGGTTGGATGGTGATTGAGCAGGAGTAGAATGGAAATTTGAGTTATGAGGTGGGACAAAGTCTCTTTCCTGTCATCAAAGTCGTCATACAAGGTGATGATTCTCATGACCATCTTGTTATTATGGATACATGCACTTGGTGCCATGCTTATGAGAGAGAGAGGTTTTTAGGGTTTATTGAGTCTAAGTGGGAGAGAGAGGTTAGGAGAGAAAACCCCTTCAAGGTATGCTCTTTAACATCTAAATAAACAGGGGAAAATTTTATATAGAGCCGAGGCTCTAAACAATAAGCTAAATAGAAAATTTCACTAGAAGAAGTTATTTTGATACCTAAATATCTACAAATTGATCATCTTGACATCAAGATGCATGGACACGAGAAAAAAATGGATTATAAGTTTTGAAAATAGTGTATTCTATAACGTATTTTTTGACCATCAATTTTAAAGATTTTCAAAATTTCATAACTATGTCGATCTACACTATTTTTGAAGCTTGAAAACTTTATAAGTATGAAAATATGTTTTAAGGCTATCACAAAGATTTTCAATATTGAAACCACATTTATCAATACTATTTGAAGGTAGGCTCTAATTTGATTGGTAAGAGTCTAGCTCTATACAAACTACACCCAATAAATAAAGAAGGGGAGAAAACCCCTTAAAAAACGTGCTCTTTAACATCTAAATAAGAGACAAACATAGGTTTTTAGAAATATAATTGCATTATACTATGATACAACCGTTATATTGGATCATTGTTCAAATTTATAAGTTTTTTATAAAGTTTCTGATATCAAAACTATATATTTGAGCAAAATTCAGAGATGTGTCTTACTCTTATAGTTTAAGGTGGGCACCTTATACAAACTTCGCCCGTTATATTTTTTGCAAATCCGGATCAAAATGCCCAATTTCGTTAAAAAAAGTTCAGAACCCAGCCTCGCTCTGTACGTAGCAACCGCGCACCCCAACTCTCTTCCTCTCTTACTGACTGGCGGACAAGCACATACTGTAAGCCCTAAACTCTTCACTCATGTTCAACTGATGGTGCTTTTTTACCTCTTCGTCTCGCTTATTCTTATGTTTCTTATTCATAATCCTTGTCTATCCCCTGTAGTTTCTGCCTTCTTTTTTATCTTTCCGCCTTCTTTTTTATATTTTTACTGCAATTTTAAGCATTTTATAGAGTCCTTTTTCCCATCTGATAAATGAATTGCCACCATTTCTCCCTTTAATTTGATGAAAAGTTAGGACTTTTCTTATTTTTTTCTTTGATAAATTTGAAATTTGTTCACATTACAAGGAACCAGCTGAATACGGTGCATCATATTGCTTTTAACATGTAAGTGCTATTTTCTAGGTCGTGTATTTTGATGGGGTATTAAAAGAAACCCAGATGGTTTTCCCCTTTTGTGTTTGTCTCTCTGGTTTGAGTTTAGAGATTTGATGTAGTAATGGCGAGAGTGGGGTTTTTCGTCAAAAAAAAAAAAAAAGATTTGAGAGTGTGGTTTTATAGAGAGCTAAAAATTAATCCAGCAATTACTGGTTTTATAGGTGGATGTGTCCACTATCATCTATTGAAGGCTGTGTGAATCTTAATTGTTTGCCGCCTCCATTAGGTGGGTATAATAAAAAGGTTTTCATCGATGAATATTTTGGAGGGTAATTGTCTAGCTCATTTTTGAACGTGATAGCTGAGTTAGTTATTTTCCTTTGCTTGTTCATAGTATCTAGTCCGTGCACAAAATGTTGTTTCATGAGCTTGGCTGAAAGTTTACCAGTTAATTGTAGAAACTAAACTTCATGTTTGATTCATTTAGTTATTATTTGACTTTAAATGATTGAGAGTTATTGATTGAAAGACGAATACCTTTCTTCTATCGATTGGACTTATGTTGGTTTGCTAATACCTTCTCTAGGATTTATAGCCATCCTTTTTCCCTTTGTATTACTGTCTATTGCATAATGTTCCATATGTTTTTTAGTTAATATTTCATAAGACGTTCGTGGTACTTTTGATATGGATATATACTTATCTTTTCTATTTTTCTGGTGTGATTGCCATTTCAATTGTTGTTGGGTATCTTTCACTCTTAAGTTACATAGATATAAGAACAAATTTCAATCTCAACCATACATTTTATACAAACTGCATTATATGGGTTGTAGCAAGAAAAACTTATTAAAATTATTCATTTTGCAAATCCAATCACTTAAATGCATAATGAATGGTTCAGACTGGCAGTGTCCAACTTTTCCAATACCAAACAGGTGAAAATACCATCACCACAATTTATTAAACAGTTTCCAGCTTCTAGGCTACCAATTTCACGCTCCTCAATCCAAAAAAATCAACACTAGGCATTTTCCTAGGGAAACTGCATAAAGTTATCAAACACCACGTTTGTCTCCGTATTTTCACCCTTAAAAAGAAGGCTCAAATCTGCAACTTGTGAGTTTCAAGTTCTTGAAGTCCCAGGTACATGATTTCTTTCTCTGTGATTTTCTTCATTTTTGTGGAGTTTTAGTCTCAGTTTGAAAGTTTTTTTTTAGGGCTAATTTTCAATGAAATGAAGCTCTTTAGGGCAGGGAACTCAGATAAAATGGATACTATAAGAGTAGAAGCTTAATGTTAATGGGCTTTTTGAGGGCAGAAAACCAATCGAAGTGGAGGTTTCTAGGGCAAGTAGTTTATGGGAATGGGGCCTTATTTTGCGTCAGGATCAAAGGAAAGGTGTTTTCCTTTGGGGTAAAAGTTCCATGGAGAGATATGATTTGCAATGGAACCTCACGGGAAGGAACACTTTGATGAAATTTTTTGGAAATGTATGTTTTTGGGCAGAAATTTCATCTAGGGTTGCAATTTTAGGGGAAATCCATGAAACAAATTCAATTAAGCCATAGACATTCAGACTCTCTCTCTCTCTCTCTCTGTAGCTTCAAAGTTATGTTCATCTCTTTCTCTCTAGCTTCAAAGTTATGTTCATCTCTCTTTCTCTCTAGCTTCAAAGTTATTAGTTATGTTCATCTCTCCCTCTCTCTAGCTTCAAAGGCATGTTCATCTCTCTCTAGAAAAGAAAGGGCCATAACCTGGTGTTGGTCCCGCCTAAGCAGGGTCCCGGGAGGGTTGGGCTGGAAACGGTCCTAACCTTTGGCTTATGCACAAAGTGGCCACTCTCAGGACTCAAACCTGTGCTCTTGCGCTGGCTACCCGAGCCTTTTACCGTCACACCAAGTGAAGGCCCCGTCTCTCTCTCTCTCTCTCTAGCTTAAATGTTTTATCCATTTTTTGGCAAGTCCAAGGTGAAATTTATACTTCAGGAGAAATTTGAATATAACTATAGGAAACCCATGGTCACCATTGATTGAAACCCATAGTCATAATTGGTTGGCTTTTTGGCCGATTGGTGTGTTTCACTTTGCATATGTTTCCCTTGACATAGTTCTACAAGTTTTCAAAGCAAGCAATGCTCTTATGTTCTTATCATTTTTTTTGTTATTGAATTTGTAAATATCCACTATTCATCACTCCATTACTATCATTTTTTTTTTTGGAAATTTCCTTTAAGTGTGAAATGGTAGACGGTGTACTTTTTTTCATTTATTTAAGATTCTTGAATTTAAGATTCTTAAAGTCAAATATCAATTTAGTTATTAAAGTGAGAATGGCCATATTCTGGATCTTCTTCTCACTTGCTTGTTATTATTTAAATGTTTTTTAAGGGACCAATTTGGTTGCAAATAAACTATTATTTCAATGTCCAGCCTTAATAATTTCCTTATTTCACAAATATTAGTAATATTTGTGCACGACTTAAAATACTGATTGTGATGTAACACCCTTAGGTTTTCATGGAAATAGAGAGGTCTCTCCTCTATATTTATTTATCATCTTTCTTATTAGTTCATATGTGTTGGTGATCTTATTATGATCCAAATTTCAATAAAATTTCTTATTAGGTCATATGCATTGGTGATCTTATTATGATCTTCTTTCAAAAAAATTTCAAAAAACCTGGTAGGCTGACTCTTTTTTAATGTATTTTGTCATGAACTATTGATTATTTATGTATTTATTTTCTAAGATTTAGAAATTTTGTTTTGATTTTGTTGTCTAGGGCAAGAGGATATTACTCCCGAAAATTTGGGTACATGGGGCATGTAAGACTTGAGAGAAAGGTAATTCCTTTTTTTTTTAATGTTATTGTATGCAATCGAGTTTTTCTTGCCTCTCTTGGTTGGAGATTACCTACAATATGTTTCAGGAGTATTCAATGACTTTATAATGGTTTAAAAAGCTTATCTTGCAGGAGTAAGAAATCTTTGATCATCAACTTAACCTGAAATACATCAACGATGAGAGGCATAGGGAGAATTACACACCATACAAGCAAAGCCTCATCTCTTCTGCCCCAATCGTCTCTGTTTTCGACATTTGCAGGTGGTCGAGGAAGGGGAAGGGGTGGAAGTGGCTATGAAACCCCACCTTCCCAACTATCTGAAGCAATAGGACACACTGGAGAGGAAGAAGAGGAAGAAAGAGGAAAAGTAAGCAAATTCCCTTCTCCTGGTATTGGCCATGGTAGAGGCCAGCCCATTCAAACAACCCCCATCCTCCCTTCCTTTGCACCATGGATGTCAGGTCCGGTTCCTGGTACTGGTAGAGGGCGCCCTTCTTCTCCACTACCCCCTCAATTGGACCATAGCCCAAACCAACAAGAACCCCCATCTCGAAAACCGATATTTTTTAAGCGAGATGAGATTGAAGGCACTGATGAAGGGAGGGTCCAAGCTCAAAATTTACCTCCAACTGAGTCTCCTCTCCCTAGAAGCATTTCCCCTGCTCCTATTGAGGGTTTTGGTCGTGGAAAACCTACTAGTCCTCTACTCTCTCATGGTATCGAAGAGGAGGAGAATCGACATATTCGTCGAAGATCGCCGCCACCCGAAAGAGCAGGGCAAGCTTCAAGGGGGAGAGCAAGCAATGAGCGAAAGCTCAGCTCTGAGGAGGCTGTAAGGAATGCTAAGGATATATTGTCAAGAGGAGAAGGAAGAGGGGGTCGAGGACTAAGGGGTGGTCGCGGACTAAGGGGTGGTCGCGGTCGAGGCGGGGTTTGGGCAGGTAGAGGTAGACAAGGTAGGGGGGCAAGGTATCAAGATAGACGTGAAGATGACAGTGTTGGGCTTTACCTTGGGGATGATGCAGATGGAGAGAAGCTGGTTAAGAGGCTTGGCGAAGAGAATGTGAACCAGATTTTTGAGGCGTTTGATGAGATGAGTGGCAGGGTACTCCCTTCACCAATGGAAGAGGCATATTTGGATGCTCTTCATACCAATTGCCTGGTAGATTGCTTCAACTATGCTTAATGAGCTACTCATTAAATGGTTATTGCTTTGTTTCGGTTTTTGAAACTCTTTTTTTTTTCGTGTGTGTTTTGGTTGCAGATAGAGTTTGAACCAGAGTATCATATGGAGGAGTTCGGTACAAACCCTGACATTGATGAGAAGCCTCCAATTCCTCTTTGTGATGCACTTGAGAAAATAAAGCCTTTCATCATGACATATGAGGGGATACAAAATCAAGAGGAATGGGAGGTATGTCACTCATTGCTTCCAATTTTTGACCTCGGTCTGAATGGTGGTGTTCTTCTTTTAATACTTTGTTACCATTTATTTCATATACTAAGAATTCACAGAATGATGGTGATTGCCACTCTAACTTCTTAGCTTTTGTTTTAATCATTATATGCATATGTATATGTTATGTAAGTATGTATCTTTGTGGTTATATTTATGAAGCTGCCCTTGCATATGCCTATTCCTACATCTGGCTCATCTAAACGTCTCTATGACAACTAGTCCCCAGTGGACCCCAACACCCATACTGACCAAGTGACCAGAACAAAAAATGAATTTATTCTTAATAGCACTTCAAAATTGTGGGTCCCTAGCAAAACCTTTTGATCTCAGATGCAGCAAAAGCTTGGCAGATGTCCCTTTGAACAGTATCCATTTGTATTTTACAACAGGCGTGCTCTTTCAAAAGCTCATATCTCAGAAAAAGAAAATTAGTTGCCTTCAAAAAAGAAATACCTTTTCACAGAGCGATCCCTAGGGATCAGTAACCATGTCTTATCCTTAGCATTTTGCTTCCAAGTTTTGTCTTGTTGCACTTTCTTAGAATCCTAGTGCATGAGAAATGAATTTGTTGCGTCTGTTGCATCACTTGCTCATACCTTTCTGTGATAGGATCTTAGGAATCCATGGCTCTAGTCTTGTCTTGTCATATCATGAGATCCATGGATGGGATAAGGATGATGATCTATGCATCTCTTATGGTAATTTGAGCTGATGAAAGACAAGAAAAAAAGGTAGAATGATCTTGAATTTGTTTCTGTAACCTACCAATCTATGCATGTGTTGCTCCTCCTGCGGGGATGCCATTCCCTGTGGGTTTCACTGAGGCTAACATTCATCCTTAGTGGATTTCAAGTCTTCTATTAAACTCTTCCGTGCTTTAATCAAGGGATTATGTAATATAAGATTGCTTGTTTTTGTTAATGGGGGCACCTTTGCTCTATGAATGCTGTAGCATCTCTCTCTCTCCCCCCCTCACGCCCCTTTACCCCCTGGCTTTGTGTGCAGTCCATTTTCAGATATGATTGTTTTGATTAGTTGACATTTAGTGCTTCACAAAATTTGATGCCATTATCAGGTTAACAGTGATTCCCTTCTCTATCTTTTGTATGTTTTTTTGACAGGAAGTTGTAAAAGAAACCATGGACAAAGTCCCATATCTCAAGGAGCTTGTTGATATTTATAGTGGTCCTGATAGAGTGACTGCTCGACAGCAACAGCAGGAACTGGAAAGAGTTGCAAGCACTCTTCCTGAGAACGTCCCTTCTTCTGTTAAAAACTTTACCAATCGTGCTGTTCTCTCTCTTCAGGTTCATTGTTCTTACATTCTTTGTAGATTGTATTAATATTATTAGTTTCATTAATTTTTTTGAATTCTATGCCTTCTATTCCAGTGCTTGCTACACCTTCCTTAGAATTTTTTTTACCAATTGTGCTCTCTCTTTTCAGGTTCATTTTTCTTTCTTCATCTTTAGTTTCACATTGATATTATTAGTCTCGTTTAATATTTTGGGATTCTGTGCCTTTAATTTCAATGCTTGCTACCTTGTCATATCCAGTCATTACTAGTATAGGCCTATAAACTGGTAAAACAATTCATAGTAATCCTTGGAGTAGTCTATTATGGGATCATCACTGTGCAACAAAATGATGGGCGGCAACGGATATACAATGAAAAACCATATAGAACACTTTTGAACCCCAAAATTACTTACATTTGTTGGGATATCTAAGATGGAAGATGGGTTAGCCTGCAACCTGCTTTCGGTAATTGATTGATGGTTCCTCATTTCCATGAATTATTGCACTTTGCTTTGATCTTTTTGGTTTCCATTGTATTTCCTTTTCACTTTTATAACCTTTACTAAATTACTGTTAGGGTAGTGTTTAGGCATGCCCAGAGATGCACCTATTTTAGTGAGTCCACCCTTCAGAAATCTATCTAGAAACCGCAAAGTTCTTACAGTTGTGTATGGTATACTGAAGTGGGAATATGTGTTAGCCTGCAACCTGCTTTTAGTAATTGAATGATGGTTGCTCATTTACATGAATTATTCCACTTTGGATTAATCTTTTTGGTTTCTGATATATTTCCTTTTCAGTTAGTTTACCTTCAATAAATTAATATCAGGGTAGTGTTTGAGTGCACCCAGGGATGCACCTTTTGTAGGGCGTCCACTCTTACCAAAATGCATCATGGAGATGGATTTTGGATCCAAAACTCTACAGGTCTATTATCTTGACAACCACAATCATGAATATGAAAAAGAATTAAAATTTGAACCTTAGAAATGGTCCATGTTGTAAAAAAATGAAAATTGAATTTTAAAATGGTCCATGTTGTACCTTTTCTTTAAACCTTTCATTTTAATTCTTCAAAGATCATCATATTTGCAGTTGTGCACTGTTTTTGGAGCTCCAAATTCATGGATCCGAGGCAGAAATGGATTTGCAATGATTTAGGATGTGTTCCAAGGTCTAAAACCCTTGAAAACTAGAGGGGACACATTAGTTGGCGGGCTCACTGAGAACGTTTCCTTTATTTTTTTTAAGAGAAAAATGTTTTAGATATTTCTTTAAGAGAAAAATATTTAAGACCTTTTTTTGAGAAAAAATATTTCAGATATATTTTTTAAGATGGGTATGACAGTTTTGATGTTCTGAGTCACAATATTCCCACTCTCCATCACTTTAGAGGGGCAACTCTTGGTCACTTTCAATGCCCCCTGGTGTCTCTCTATATCTATCTCTCTCTTGTTTCCAGGGCCAGTATTTCACTTGATCAACTTCTTACGAAAATGGTGAATGCTCAAGTGAAGCGCTTGGGATTATATGTGATGGGAGCCATCCTTGGATATAAGACGTCCAAGTTAAATTGGTATGAGAACACTTCCTTGGCCAGATTGAGAGGTTTAACTCTGATGAGGAGGAAGTCTGGTATTGTGGGAAGTGGACGTCCCATACTTACATGGCTGAAGTGAAGAAGATTGGCACCCACTACTAAGGAGCATTTGGGTTACGGTCATCAGGCAACAGTGATGTGGTTTGAGCCAAGTTCAAGTCAAACTTGTCGTAGATCTATGGGAATGAATGCCAGAGTTTTCATGTACCTCAGCGGGATTTAAGTGCAAAGATTTTTGTTGAGGCCTGATCTCCAGATATGCAGTTTAAGAAGCTAGAGTGCTTGCTCTCAGATATCTTTTTTTGCTAGGGTTGGAAAAATTTGTACCAGATTACATGAGTCCTTGATTATTCACACTCCTCTCTACTTCCATCTCCACTGTTTGATTCTCTGGGGTATCAAATGGATCAGTTCGAAGTTTTTTATTATTTTATTGCTCATGGTTTGCTGATTAAAAGTCTTCTATCCTGTTGGAAACTGTTGACTCTTTCTCTCTACCTAAGCATGAAAGAAAAGCCTTGGCACATCAATCTCTTTGCACATTTCCTCAATCACATAATAGATCACAGCCGAAGAAGATGATTCCTGTAGAAAACCCCCATTTTCCCTGGAGAAGATCATTCAATAGACGAAGTCTCTAGCCTAAAGATTCAAGAATCAGTTCTAAAAATGATAACAAAGTTCAATAAGATTTAGAAAAGCGCTTACTGCTCAACCCTTTGAAGATGTGTTTGGAAAGGTTAGTGGTCTTGTTGTAGGGGTGGCTTGTAAGAATTTGGCTTCTCTCAAGGAATTGATCCCTTTCGTGGGCTTTCTTGCTTTGGTCCTGAATTTGCTTGACTACTTTTAGCTGACATTGAATACTCTTTAGAAGGGAGGATCAACATCCTTCTCCACCTTCGCCAGATTTAGCAGAGGTTTCCCTGTTGTTTCTTCCACCATCATCTGCTGAAGAGTATCCGATGTGCAGTATGGGGGGAGGGACTTGGTGCTGATGTTGATCTTTCTAGGGAAAAGGTGTTTTAGAAGTTAAATTAAGAAGTCCTGACTTTCTTAGTGCTGATGTTGATCTTTCTAGGGAAAAGGTGTTTCAGAAGTTAAATTAAGAAGTCCTGACTTTTCATGTGTCTACGGTTAATGGTTTATGGTTAAATACAAGTGGATAGATGTTTTCCTTGCAACTTTCAGGGCAAGTCTGCATTTCTCATTGGAACGTGCTTTCTCAATTTTGTTGAATATTGAGTTTGATGGCTGGAGTTTTGATTGACTGCCTAATTTTTCTGCCTGTCACTGTGTGTGTGTGTGTGTGTGAGAGAGAGAGAGAGAGAGAGAGAGAGAGAGAGGGAGGGGAGGGGTAGGTAGGTTGGGTTGGACGGACGGTAGGTACGTAAGTTAGTTGGTGGTAGGTAGGTAGGAGGAGGAGGGTAGGTTAGGTTTGGG